CACTGTGCCTCATGGAAAACTTTGAAAGAAATATTCTATTTAAAGACAATTATGCTTAAATATCATAGTTTTCTAAAGACATTTACATGAAAACAAATGCATGAAGAACTCATTTTCCTCTTCCATACTCCTATCTGTAGTAATAATTCTTCTGCGTGACATCATAAGCAACTGTCATATGATATGATATCACAGTTCAATGTGACAATAATTTTTTGTCTTGGGCACACAAATAAGTAGTATGACTTGAAAACCAGTCATGGCCCTCATATTATTTCTGAAAATTGGGCAGTTCCAATTTAGGAATTGTTAAGAAATAAATGCTGTTAATAGATACACTGAAAATATGTAAATCTAAAAACATTTGTTAATGTGATCTGTCTTTAAAAATAAGCAAACTGAAACAAGTTTGAACTTGCATTAAAAACCCTTTTTATATCATTTTCTTCCTTTTCAAAAGTGACTTACCTTTCTTCTAGTAGTAACCTTACTTTTAGGAAATGATACCTTGTGACAGATTTGTTCAGTGAGTTATCTGGTCCAGAACTTGTAGAAATACAAGCAGCTTACGTGTCATGTTCATTTCTCCTTTGTGCTGTTCTTTTTCATTCCATTTAAAAGTATGGGCCTGAAAGCAGAATTTTCTTGCAAACTTTGGATTCCATAAAATAGCCATTGTGTAACTGCTACGCTGCTATACTGGCAAAATACATAACACTACTACCTACTAGGTGTTTCTTTGAAGTGTGGAAACTAACCAGACCCTGAGCACACAGAAAATGCTGTGTAGAATCAATTGAATGCAAATTAAATCTCTGATCTTCAGCTTTTGGCATACTGTTCCTGCCTATCCTCCTATTTTATCAAATTGCACTTCCCATTTTTTAAGATTAGTAGAGCTTGAGAGTCATGGTTTATAGAATTGTCATCTTGATAAATAGTAGAGATTAATGCTTTCATCCAAATTATGCATTCTTTTTAGGATGATAACATTACATAATAATAGGGGCAGATTTCCAAAGTCTTGATCAACAAAATGATCACAGAAAGACTTCTTAAATAATTCATTTCCATCTATCAAGGCTGACATGAGGCAGCGTTACCGAACAGCCTCCTTTTGACAGGATAGTCCAATAGTAAAGTTTTTATTCATTGCTCTGCTACTGGCACAGGAACATTTGTGGGCATTTATCCAGGTCCCCAGGAAACTTGGAATCATTCCATGTTAAAGAACTGTAACTGTGGCTAACAAACCAGCTGCTGTATTGAGCTCAGAAGGAAGTCTTTGTAGCTGTGTGGAAGGAACTTAAGTTATTTGCATAACATCCAGCAGCCTTAGTGGAAAGGGTTGGCAGGAGCACAACAGCAGGGTAGGCATCCAGCTTTTCTTTTTTGACCATATCTGTCAGAGATTCCATTCGTAAATGCTAGCATGAGATGAAAAGAGAGAGAAGTGAAGAACATGACCAAAAGGACTGTACAGGCATGAAGAGAAGAATGCTCATGATCATATTGACAGCATTCTTTGTGGAAGTAATAGTTTATTAAATTCAGCAAACTAAACTGGTTTATAATAAATAGTATCAACATCTATAGGGGAATGATATTTGTGAGTTGCCAAATTCTTACCAAGAAGAGAGAAAAACCTTAAAGAACAACAAATTCAGGATCCTATAGTACCATCCCTCACCATAGGTCAGCTGTCAACCAAAACATGCTGTTGTACTGAGTTATAGGAATGTACAGGAATGTTCATTTATATTAAAAACAGGCAGATATTGTCAATTTGGCCAACTTCAGGTTTTATTTTTAAAAAAATTTACTAGTATACCCTAAATATATTACAACACATCTTCAAATATTAGTATTTCCAATAAAACGTCAATCTACAGTTCCAAAACAGGAATTTCTTTGGTCTTCTGTCACACCAGCTTTACCCTGTAAGGAAAAAAACTAGTTTTAAAATACTCAGGTCATATTTCATCAAGAATTTAAGATGCCACCACCAGGAAAAAAAAAAAAGTCTTGCTTTCCTATGACCTTCAGCCTCTCTCCTGCCTTCTATAAATAGAGCTGTTTGTGAGGCCGAACAGTAAATCATGTTGTGGATTTGGATTGAAAATAAAGGGGATGGTAGTATGCAATTAGTGTTCTTTCTTTCTGCCTTCCACCACTTCATCCCCAATTTAATTTCAGGCTGGATTATGTTCCTGGTCCAGTTCACTACTTTTTGCACAAATGCTTATGACAGAAAAAGGATTAACACATGGGAAAAAAAGAGTTGAATTTTTGTAGGATAACCTTTTCTGACCTTATATGTACTTTCCTGTTTTCTAAGAAATTTTTTTATTTCAAAAAATTGCATACACTAATAACTTATATAAATAGTTTTTTTGTAGGAAAAGTTAAGAAGTCTAGAAGATGTAATTCACTGTAATTTCAAATAAAATTAATTTAATCTTCAATAAGAAGTTAAATATCTTTCCCAATATGTGAAATTGACCTTTCTGTGTTCTCACTATTTTATATTCTTGCAGAAACAAAGGTGATTCTAGAATTATTTAGTTTTCCTTCAGTGTTTTTGTTTGGCAAAGGTTTCTCATATTTCTACAATTGTATACAGAACACTCGATGAGATGATAAAGCTGTCAGCTGTTCATAATAATGTGTATTACAGAGAAGTTTTCTTGTAATTCACTTTTGTAATATTATTTGTGCCCCCCAAATATTAAGCATATTGACATATATGAAAGAAACCATACAGAGAAAGACTTGGCGGTAGTGGTGGATGAAAACCAGACTATGACCCAGCAATGTGCGTTTGCAGCTGAGAAAGCCAACTGTATCCTGGGCTGCCTCAAGAGAAGTGTGGCCAGCAGGTCAAGGGAGGGGATTCTCTCCTTCTACTCCATCTGATGAGACCCCACCTGCGGTACTGTGCCCAGCTCTGGGCCCTCCAGTATAAGAAGGACATGGACCTGCTCAAATGGATCCAGAGGAGACCATGAAGATGATCAGGGGGCTGGAGCACCTCCCCTGTGAGGACAGGCTGAGAGAGTTGGGGTTGTTCAGCCTGGAGAAGAGAAGGCTCTGGGAGACCTTATAGCAGCCTCACAGTACTTAAAGGGAGCTACAGGAGAGGTGGGGAGGGACTCTTCATCAGGGAGTGTAGCATTAGGATGAGGGGTAACAATTTTAAACTGAAAGAGGGTAGATTTAGATTAGATGTAAGGAAGAAATTCTTCACTGGGAGGGTAAAGTGAGGCACTGGCACAGGTTGCCCAGAGAAGCTGTGGCTGCCCCCTCCCTGGCAGTGTTCAGGCCAGGCTGGACAGGGCTTTGAGCAACCTGGTCTAGTGGAAGGTGTCCCTGCCCACGGCAGGGGGTTAGAACTATGTGATCTTTAAGGTCCCTTCCAGCCTAAACCATTCCATGATTCTATGACTGATATTTTCCTTATTGTGTTGTATTTCCCTAAGTCAATGTTTAAAAATCCTATATGCCACTTTTGAAATACTATTTCTCTGAACGTATAATTTTTTTTAAACAGTCTTTTTGACTACTGTAAGGGACAAAAACTTTGTTTTAATTGACATAATTGACCTTCAAACAGGAGTTCTGAAGAATTTGTATGTAGTGAAAGTAAGCTGCAATGATATATTGTTATTATTACCCATTCCTAGTAACAGTCACATAGAAACCACGTCAATCATGATGCTATCGTAACTGTAATTTTTATTTGTTTCTATTAGAGTCCTATGCCTTGCTGTATCAAACACAAGTTTGTGTTTATTTCTCATAAGCAGAAAAAAATAATCTATCAAGTTTAAATTTGTATTATTTCTTTGCCCCCTTGCCTCATACTCTTTTATTTTTATTTTTTTTTCAATTTGAAAATTTTTATGGCATTAAATGTAGTGGAAAAAGCCACTTACCTTCTGAGCTCCTCTTACCACTTCTTATCTTCACTGAAATAAGGGGAGAATTCATATTCCAGGCTTACTTGATCTGACTTTTTTTTAAAATCTGATAAATGCATATTATGCTTATTTGCAGCATCTTAAAAGATCATTATGTCAGTGTGTTTGTTCAAGGAACAAAGGCTGAAAAGGAAGTACATAACATGCTTTCTTGTCTCTTATTTTAGTCTAGTTTTATGCAATGGGTTAAATGATGGGCTCTGCCTGGAACACAGCATGAGTCATGTTGTTAAGACCATTAAAGCCACTGAAGAATATTTTTATATCCCAACAATTCCAATTTTCTAATCAAATTAATACTTATCAATAGGGCTGCTCTCTTATTCATGGAAGACAACAGACATGTTCTTTAGCACAGTAACCAAGTTTACACAGCTAAATAATAGTTTATGCTCCAAATAAAGGAATGTACGTAAATCTCCCTTTAGGGGGAGAGAGAGAGAGAAAATGTGTGAAATACAGTTATTCACTGAATTAATCATAGTGGAGAGATTACTTATCTTTAAAATGTTATTTTAAATGGGACAAAACACTTTTCTTTGTCTGAAGTTCCTATATTTTACTTACTTTTTCTACCAGCGTTGTCCCAGTAACTCCTGTGTGTATTAGCCAGGTTCAGACAAACTTGAAAATGGTGTCTTAAAGATGTTACATAAAAAACCCTAGTGCTTAGACAGGGAGTAGGCATCTAAGTTGCTGTCAGCATTGAAGGAAATGCAGAGAGAGTAGTGTGTGGCTAGCCCGCTTGGCAGAGCCCAGTCTTCTATTCATTGTGTGTGCACTGGTTAGCCTATGAGAGAGATGCAGGTTCAAACTGCATCCTATGAGAATCACGTGGGAAACTGGAATTATTGCATTTGTCTGGTTTTAAGGAGGCAGAGGATAGAAAACCATGCAAAGCATGTCTCATTATTTCCAGTTTCCTGGGGTATTATATATATATATACAAGCAACACTGGAAGCTTACTATTATTGACTATAAACATTTTAATATACTTTCTCCGTTTTTTTTATGAACAGATAAAAGAAATTTGTCTGGAATTGAACTGAATGCGTCTGAACTGAAGGAAATGTTTTAAGATTGCTCTGCTGACAGCAGTTGTACAAGAATAGTATACTGAGGTTTCTGCGTGCACTTCTGAGAAGACTGTATTTTTATATCCAGTTTATTGGCCCATAAAAGACAATGTAATTACAAAAGTAACAGTAAATTTATGCAATAGTAGCAGTTCCCCTCCCACTGACTGGACATGAGCGATCAAAGGTCTTTGCAAGAAGATAAGCACAAAGTTAGTAGAACTTCCTCAAAGTTCAGGGAGTCTTCAAGAAGCATGCAATCTGATGATTATTTCGCTAGAAAACTTAAAGCTTTGAATGGTAGCATGGGTCCTCCCGTTTCTTCAAATGCACCTAGCAAAACTGAAACTAATCAAACAAATGGTACACCAGCTGTGCCTAAGATGGGTGTTCGAGCAAGGGTATCTGAATGGCCTCCTAAAAAGGATTGCTCTAAAGAGCTAAGTAAAGCTGCTTGGGAAAACAGACCTCCAACCAGTTATGAAGGTGTTGGCTCAGTACTTCCAAATGGACAAAATGACCAAAGTGATGGACAACAAGAAGAGCTAGAATTGGAATTTACAGAGGGAAAATACTCGATTGGAGATCTGTTTGTTCATTCCCCTCAAAGGGGACTTCATCCCATAAGGCAAAGAAGCAACAGTGATGTGACAATAAGTGATATTGATGCTGAAGATGTGCTAGACCAGAATGCTGTTAACCCTAATACTGGAGCAGCTCTTCATAGAGAATATGGTAGTACCTCTTCAATTGATAGGCAAGGCTTGTCTGGAGAAAATTTTTTTGCAATGCTAAGAGGCTACCGAGTGGAAAATTTTGAACATAAAACCCTTGCTCCATTTGGATTTCCTGAGTTTTTCCACTGTGATCCTACAGTTTCTCCAAGTCTACATGCTGCTGCACAGATTTCTAGGGGAGAATTTGTCAGGATTTCTGGCTTGGATTATATGGATAGTGCCCTACTTATTGGTCGAGACAGGGAGAAATCTTTCAAGAGGAGACTAAAATCAGAAGCAGTAGAAACATCTCTATTTAGAAAATTGAGAACAGTGAAAAGTGAGCATGAAACTTTTAAGTTTTCATCTGATCTGGATGATAGACTTGACAGAAATGTTCGTTCTTGGAACTGTCAGAAATGTTTTGCACATTATGATGTTCAGAGCGTTTTGTTTAACATAAATGAAGCAATGGCTACCAGAGTAAATGTAGGAAAAAGAAAAAATATAACCACTGGGGCTTCAGCTGCATCACAAACTCAGATGCCAGCAGGCCAAACGGGAAACTGTGAATCTCCTTTGGGAAGCAAAGAGGACCTCAATTCAAAAGAGAATTTGGATGCTGATGAGGGTGATGGGAAAAGCAATGATTTAGTATTGAGTTGCCCTTACTTCAGGAATGAAACTGGTGGGGAAGGAGATAGACGGATTGCACTTTCTAGGGCAAATTCAGCATCTTTTTCTTCAGGTGAAAGTTGTTCTTTTGAGTCGTCTCTGAGTTCCCATTGCACAAATGCTGGTGTTTCAGTACTGGAAGTACCAAGAGAAAACCAGTCCATTCACAGAGAGAAAGTGAAGCGTTACATCATAGAACACATTGATCTCGGAGCATATTATTACCGCAAGTTCTTCTATGGAAAAGGTAAATTTTTCTAATGTAACTGTTCTGAGATATCCATGAATTAGATTTAAGTTGCTTAGTGAAGATTATTTTTTTCCTTCTTCTTTATAGAGAGACCTAAGTGTTACAGGGGATCCTGAAACTCTTTACTAAAATTAAGCATGTTATTCTTGCTCTCCCAGAGGGATATTCAACAACCAGTGGGTTATATATAAAGTTATGTAATACTTTATATATGTAAGTTAGTGTGGGGTCATTTAAATTAATATGTAAATTAACTTATCTGAATCAAACTTTCTTGGTGGGCAGGAGGAAAAGAAGGCATTTATATCCAGTAAATGCACTGGAAATACTGATAACCAGGGTGGAAATCACTATTTCCTAAAAGGTGCTTCTGAAAGAGAAGGTTTTATTATTGAGACTTATGATTCCCTTCTTCTAGATTTTATTGTCTTTAAGTGTCTCTTGGGGCCTTTCATAATGTATGCACATATGCATACTCCTTAAACAGCGAGCTTCTGATGATACTTAGTTTTTCAGCTTAAATTAAGATTGTTCTGTGCCTTTCTCTTAGACTTTTACCCTATTCTTTTAGGATATGTTCACACTGCAAAGTACCAGGGTACTCAGCAGAGTAATTACCCTGGCTTGAATCATTATGCAGATAAACTCTTTCCACTTTGTGATCTACTTTGGATGTCTGTAGTAAGTTCTGTATTGTGCAATGTGTGTGAAATCTCTGCTTTTGTGGGGAGAACCCCCAAATTCCTGCCCCCCTCCTTTCTGTGTTATGAAATACAGCTCAGTCTTTTTGCTATTATTAAAAGAAAAGAAAAAAAGCCTTTCTTCTGTCCTTAAAAGACTGTTTGTTACTGCCTGACTTTTCTTGAAATCATACTTCTGCTTTCTAACTATATTTGAACAGCAGGAAACGAGCACTGTACTGTACTCCTGCTTCCTGTGACCCTTAATAAGGGACTCAAAAGAGGATCCAGTACAGTGCTTGTTTTCACAATATGGTAGACACCTCGAACATATTGACTGTAAAAACACTGTATTTAAAAGGCAAGGCAGTAAAAAATCTGGATTGTTCACAGAAGAGGAAGAAAAAGACCGAGAGCTAAGCAAGGAATGGGCAGGAAATTCAGAGGTTCAAAATGGCTTTTAAGCTCAGCAGGTTGTAAAGGGTAAAAAAGTGTTGATGGAGTCAGAGTGGAAGAGAATGAAGGGAAACTTTTAACAAAAGGGTGTCTTATTTTTTGAGGGGCAGAGAGAAGAAAGGTTTGGCATAGATGGTAGTGAAAGGAAGTTGTCAGTGGACAAAGGAAAAAAAAAACTAGACAAGGATTAAGCCAAATGAAAGAGGACTTCTTTGTGAAATGGAGTTACATGTTCTGAAGTGCTGAACATTTTTTTTTAATGAAAAAAAGAAAATATAAAGAGTACTCAAAACCACATTAAATAATGTAAGAGAAATAAACCTAATGACCTTTCTGGAAAGTTGATGCACATGTAATTAGTTTTAGTTAACTGCTGCTGTTGACTAAAAGTAAAGTATGTTTGTATTGATATAGTATTAAAAGGTAAGAAATAGTATCTGAGAGTTTTATCCCACATAGTATATATAATACTAGGAAACTTGAATTGTTACTGTCCTTGTTACTAATTGTTGTGTAGGTAGAGTTCTTGAAAAGTAAATGTGATGTGATTTTATTTAATATCCAGTAATGAATTGTTAGCCTCTCAACTTTACAATAAGCCATGCCCTGTTCCATAGTATCTTTCTATAGAGTTGTACCAGAAGCTACAGGAGAGAAATCTGTTTTGGATGGCTCTCATGAGACAGATAGCAAGTCAAGACAAACATGTTGATGGAACTAAAACCTTAATTTTCAGTACCTATTATCTGAAGGGATCAGGCATGGAAGGAGTCTCCAGATTACTTCCAGATGAACACAGTTCTCACCTAAGCAAAGTTTATTGTGGATAGAGGAAAAAAAATGGGCATTTTGCCTTGGGCACCAAAATGTCTTTCTGTTGTGCTGGGCTGCCATGTAAGAAAAAGTGACATTTATATGCATACTGAGTCTTACTTGATGCTCTTCCATGACAGGGAGATCTCCTAGCTGATTGTTCATTGAATTGTAGATTTAATAGCAGAGTTGAATTTAGCAAAATAATTGTGGAAGGATGAAGTAAAAATTTAGAAAACAATAGTCACTTGTATATAGAGTCATATGTAATGCCACCAATTTTCTTTGCCTTTAATAAGGTATCTATGAAAAAGAAATAACTTTCTGAATATTTGATTTAGTTCACAGTTTTATAATTGGCACTTGTCAGCATACAAGTTTTATTTCTGTTTTAAGATGCATAGAAGAAACACCCTGGCATGTGTAGCACTAATTATTCCATTCCCTTTCAAGAAATGAGAGATTTGGAATTCAGTGTCTTCTGAAATGAGCTATAGTTTTATACTGCATATTTATAAGCTTTGTAACTATTGTTAACATCCAGTCCAACATGACTGATGTAAAATATGTTAATGTTTATGGAAAATATCTTCTCAGTTTTCAGTTAAGGTTTGTAAAAGCTGGAATATTTTATTTTATCTCATGGTTTTGATTTATTAATGGTGTCCTTTAGTGAACTATATTTTTGTGTGATAAAAGGGGATGAGAAGGGGAAAAAAGCTATGTTGATTTTAAAAAAGGATAATTGAAATATGCTTTTATTATCATTGATTTGTCTTTTTCCCCTTGTGCAATTATCCTCATAACACCTTGAGACTTGACTGTTACTACCATACTTTTTATTTGGGGGATGGTTACAACTATTTCTTAATATGTTATTTTACCTATCTGCTGATATGAAACTGAAAGTTGTCCTACAAGAACTGTACAGTCTTAACAAGCTTTTGTTATTAACTCAGTTTTGCATAAGTCAGACCTGTATTGGAAGAAAAGTTGACAATTATTCCTCAAAATGAAAAAGTACAAAGTGAGGAATATTTTACCATCTCTCTTTAAAGAGCTAGAGAATAGCACTTACTTTCTTCTCTCCTCTCCAGTCAATACTTTTATATCAACATAAATACATTTAAATGAACTTCATGAGTTTGTGCTTTATGAATTTTTTTTTTTAAAAGTGCCTTGAATTAAAAATGTTTTCCCCAAATCCCAGAATATCAGTAGCCATGCTATTCTTTAATTTACTTCAGCTTCTTTAATTCTGATTCTTGAAACTGTTTTATCTGTTTGGGTTTTTTTTGTTTTGTTTTTTTTTTTAATGTACGTAAATAACATCTTTGGTTTTGTGTCTTTCATATTGTACAAGAAATAAGCAGATATCTGCCATGCTTGCATTTTTCTGCTCAGTAATACTGCAGCCAAGTAATCTAGTAACTGTGTAATACCCTTTCCTAGATTTACATCAAAATAAAAGGCTATAGAAACCCTGAGAAGTTTACCTTTGTCAGAGCCTGAATATGCAGCTGTGGGGAGTTTTTATGTTGTTGAAAGTGTTTGGCCTCTGAATCAATATCTCTGTCTCTGATCTATAGAATCCGGTTCCATTTGATAAATTTGCCATTAAGGCTCAAAGTTTTAATTTAACACCTTGAAATCCATGAGGTGTCATTTATCCATGCAGGTAGAATGCTTAGGCTGAGGAAGGAATGTAACCGGTGAGCATGAGCAAATAATTTAATGTCTGTGCCCCTTTAATCTCAGGTGTTCCTTCCAGAAAAAAGATGCTAGTTTCAATGTGCTGCTACTTATTTTCTCTCCACTGAGAGATGGACTGTAGCCACCCACATACTTCACAGATAAATTTTTTCAAAGGCTCCTAGAAACTTAATTCAAAGTTGATTTGACAAAGACTGTCATTTACTTAGAGATAACTTTGTCTTTTTCTATTCATTCTGAGAGTATGGATGACTTCTCAGTGAAAGACATTCTGCAAAAACTTCCTTACACATTTCTATAAATACCTTGTGTAAAAAAAAAAAAAAAAAAAAAAAAAAAAAAAAAAAAAAAGTATCAAACTCAAAGATGCTAGTAAAGTGTTTTTTAATCCAGACAATCCTAATAGGAGAAATTAGTCTATTACTACATTGACAATTAAAATATGGAATTATAGCATAAATTGGATTGGAATATATTTCTGGAGGTCATCCAGTCTAATTCCCTGTTTAAAGCTGCCTTTAAAGGTAGGTTCTGAATAGGTTGTTCAGTTAACCTTTAGCTGTCCCTTTAGCTTTTGACCATCTCTAAGGATGGAGATTTCACAAGCTCTCCTGGCAACCTGTTCCTGTGTTTGATTCCTCTCGATGAAGGGCTGCATCTTGTGATGGCTGCATCTTATCCCTTCTCTCTGTACCTTGGAGAAGAGTCTTGCTCTACCTTCTCTATAACCCCTCCATCAGCTAGTGGGATCCTGCAGTTATTTCCCCCCATTAACCTGTTCTTCTTCAGGTGCACAAGCCCATCTCCTTCAGCCTCTCCTCATCTATTGTATGCTTTACCCCCTTAATTGTCATGGTAGTTGTCTGCTGGCCTTGTCCCACTCTGTCCAAAACTGGGCGCTACTCCTTTTGTGGCCTCAGAAGTGTCAGAGAGGTGTAATGTCTTCTCCTGACCTGCTGGTATGCTCTTGCCAGTGCAGCCCAGAGTGTGGTTAGCCTTCATCTCTGCAGGGGGTTCTGCTGACTGCTGTGTCTCCTGTTGCTCACCAGGGTCCCCAGTACTTTTCTACAAGACCTGCTCCTGAGGCAGTTTGTCCCTGGCCTGTATCATTGTATGAGCTTGTTCTGCTCTAGATAAGGCCTGTACTTCACAAGATTTTTGTCAGTCCGTTTTTTCAGATTGTCAAAGGGAGAGTTTGTTTTAACATGTCATGTTGAAAACTTCAGCGGGTTAGGAGCTGCTTCACATGCAGCTCAGCTGTCCCATGTCAGCAGCAGCTGCCTCCAGGGGAAGGGGAGGGTGGGAGGTGAAGCACAGACACCCTACAGATACAGGACCTTACTTGTGTGGCTGAGTTAACCACCTTTGCCTGCTTTTGTAAAATACTGCAAGGTTTGTGCATTTCAGTATCTGTCCTATGCACATAGTACTCATTTTTTAAAAGCCTGCCCAGTTACTCCCCTTCACCTGTTGTACCCAACTACAGCCCTAACCTCCAATACAGGAACTGTTCTCCTTGAGCTTGGTCATGTGCATGAACTTGTTGAGGATGCATTCCATTCCATTATTTGGATAATTTTAAAAACTATTAAACAGTAACAGCTCCACTATCAACTCTCAATAACCCTTTTAGTAACTGGCCCCTGATCGTAATTTGTATTACTGATCACAGTCCTTTGAGGCCAGCTGTCCTGCCAGTTTATGTCCACCTTGTAATTTGCATGTCCAAACCATGTCTTTTCAGTTTAGTTACATGGATACTATGAGAGACTCTGTAAAAAGCATTGCTAAAATACGTTGCTGTTCTATCCATAAAGCCAGTCATTTCATTGTAGAAAGCACCTGGGTTGGTCACGTGTAATTTGCATCTGATAAATCTATTGTCGTGGTTTTGGCTAGGATAGAGTTAACTTTTCTTGAGCTGGGAGGGGGCACAGCCGGAGTGCATGCTTGGATTGGCCATTGGAGTATTCCATATCATGTGATGTTGTGGTCAGTATATAGAGGAGGCAGGTTCTCTCTTGCTTCTTGTTGGCGTGGCAGGATCTCCGTTCTGTCAGGACTGCTGGCCAGGAGTGGGCTGGATATTAGTCAATGGGTGGTGAGAAAGCACATTGTGCATTACCTGTTTGTACTTTCGATTATTGTTATTGTTTTGTTTTATTACAATCACTAAACTTTTTTTTTTTCATATCAACCTGTGAGTTTCCTTGTGTCCCTCCACTCTCTTCCCCCATTTACTGGGCGGGGAAGGGAGAGTGACCAATTGCGTGGTGTTTGGCTGCTGGCCGAGTTCAAACCATAGCATCTATGCAGGCTGTTTCCAAGCATCTTTTTGTCTTTCATGTGCCTGGAAATGTCTTCCATAAGAATTTGTTCTTTCATCTCCTTGGGAACTAAGATTTATGTTTACTGTATAGCTATTCCTATATAAGCCTATTGCTTCCCAGACCCTCTTTCTTACCCCTTTTAAAGATGAGTGTAAGCACTCGCTGTGATCTTTCAAATGTGGTAAAGAGAGGCCTTACAGTTCCCTCAACATGTATCCCATTTGGTCCCATGGACTTGAGTGTATTTAGTCTGCTTAATGGTCTAGAACTTGATCTTCCTCTTCTGTCAGTAATGCTTTAGTCTCCCAGAATGGGCCAGTTGGCTCAAGGATGAACTGAACTATTTATTCATCACTGAAGAGTTATTAGCCTCAGTTTTCACTTGATAAAACTGTTGCTGCTTCGAATGTAAAGCTTTAAATAAAAATAAGAATAAATTGAATGACATGAAGGAAGCTACATAGCACCTTATTTGTTTGAAGACTGTTAGCGTCTGTTGAAGACTTAATATAGATATAGTTTCTCCAAAGTAGTTTCTTACAGCATCAAGCAAAATTATTAATTTCATATTAACAAAAAATGTAAAAAAATATTTCATAGTAGAAGCAGTTGCAGTAATTTGAGTTACGTGATATGAGTAATCATTCTACTCATCAAAATTAACATTTTGTGATTTAGGTACTTACTGTGCAGTTCAGATCACAAGCCAGTGTATTTACAGATCTCATAGCTCAATTAAAAATAATATTTTTTTTCTGGCTGTAGAATTTTTTAATGAGATTTGGTGAATGTTTTCTAAGAGACTCATACTTCATTATTCTATTCTCATTCACTATTGTACAAAAGAGCATCAGAACTACTTTGGAATAGATGAAAATCTTGGACCTGTAGCAGTCAGCATCCGAAGGGAGAAGGTTGAAGATGTCAAGGAGAAAGAAGGATCTCAGTTCAACTATCGTATAGTTTTCAGGACAAGTGAGGTAATGTTCTTTCAGTAATTCTGCAAAGGAATGGAAAAGTTTGCTTAGAGCTTAGGATACTAGTTTGTGGATATGTTGCTAACTTTGAAAGTAAATCTGTTAAAGGGATGATTCTTGTACCATTAGTAAATGTATTTGCTCCTGGAACAAAGTTTTCCTCTTGTGTACTGTATAAAATTTTTCTCATTTTGAGAGGGCACCCAAAAGGATCTAAGTTGGCTGAAGGGAACTGCAGTGGGGACAAACAAGGGAACAGATGATAAGAACAAAGCTGAAGATAAGGTTGGATTAAGCTGCTTGATGTTAATTTTTAATGATAGAAAGAAAAGGTTAAGAAATGCAGAGAAAAAGGGAGGGAAAAAACTATGAAAACTAGTACCACGATTTATTTGTATTTTTTCTTTTGTTTCAAAGTACTTAGAAGTTTTTTTCTGTGAGATGTTTTTATATACTTCTACATACATGACTTATGGAAGGTGTCTTATTTGAAAAAATAGCTCACTTATTGTTGTGGAAGGACACATCTCAACTTCTATTTCAAGTGAATTAGCATCTCTTGAAAGCTAATTTCTTTATCACAGCAATTAGCTTTAATTTTATGAAAATACACAATGTTATTATTACAGCAAGCAATTATATGCTTGCATAGTCCATAGGACTATTGCTTTTTATTGTGATTAGGACATAAAGAAGTGTTATCTAGACTTCCTGATATCTCTGGGCTCACGTGCTTTTACAAATAGATATAGAAACAGATGCATATAAATTTTTTTAGACTAGGTTTTTCTTTTATTGCCAAAAAGGGGTTTCTCTGTATGTATGTGTAGAGAGGTGATTCAGCTGACTTGCTTCTAGAAATTACTCTCTTTTTGAGAAATCAAATGAAGAAAAAGCAGTATGGTTTAAAAAATAGGTGGATGGGTTAAATGAAGGTGCCATAAGCTGTGGTTTACCTCACCTGTCCAACCCCACATTCAACTACTGTGTCTAGGGCAGTATGGCATTAAAATGAAGACATTTTGGTTTTCCTGTCATTTAAAATATTTTTTAAAAAAGGTAATAGTCCTAGGAGTCAGAATAAGTTAATGATATGATCAGTGAATTTCTTTAAAACAAATATATATTTGTTACTGAGACAATAAGAGCCTCTCTCCTCTTTAAGTTATTTAATAATCTTTTTATTGGTTAAAAAAAAAAATAATCTATTTTTCCAATTATATTTTCCATGCTTTTGCTAAAACCTGAAGTTTATATCTTTAAAAGTCATTGTAGTATCAGAACTAAAAGTTTTTGTGTGTTTTACTGCAGCTTACTACACTTAGAGGAGCAATTTTAGAAGATGCTATACCATCCACTGCTCGGCATGGCACGGCAAGAGGTCTGCCTCTCAAAGAAGTACTAGAGTATGTAATACCAGAGCTGAGTATTCAGTGCCTGAGGCAGGCTTCCAACTCACCCAAAGTACCTGAACAGCTGCTTAAACTAGATGAACAAGGGGTATGTAGCAAATGACTTTTCTATAAAGACTATTTATCTAAAAAAAAATACGATTATCTTAAATATTTTGCAGGCAGTGTTAATAAACATGGATCTGTAATGCAAACTGTTCACTTTCTTGGTTTTGGAGATACTTGTGTATTTTCATGGACAAAACAAGGTTTTCTTTTCTAAGCAAATTATTTTTAAAATACATTGCAGCTTAGGAAAAAAATTATTGGTCTATGGAGATTCTCTTTAGATGAGTGAGTGAGAGAAAGATTATAACTAAATTTTATTGTTGGTAAGAAGTGGTTTTCCAATCTGGATTTGCACTTCAATGTGTAAAAATGCTGAATGCAAATGAAAACAGATCTAACATTTTATTTATATGTATAGGTATAGGTAAGGAGGCAAAAGCATATTAAGTCTTTCCATCTAAAATTCTGGGTTGTTTTGTACAATAGTGTTTTCCGATTAACTTGCAGTAGTCTTACTAGAATAGAATGTTTCGGGGTTCAAACAACTGAAATTGTGATTGAGACTAATGAATAAACTGCATGACAGTGAAATACTCATATGGCTTAAATTTGGAGAGAAAATGGTGAGCCCTATTGGGTTCAGTAAAGTGAATTTGCTTCATTCAAAGCTAGTGATTAAATTTGTAGCTTCTGAATATTTTGTGAAAGACAGGCTTGTGATGGCTTTTAAATCACTTTTGAAAAGCATGTTTTTAAAAAACTGTTTAAAGTGAAGATTACACTTTCTAAGCAAAAGTCAGTATGTATCTGTTGAAGTTGAATCAGCTGATGGATCCAGTTGACTATGATGATGTTATAATTAGTTTTTTAATGCTAGTTCAGTTTTGAATGTAGTGATTGTGCCTAACATTGGTGATGTCTACCAGAATTCTTCTGTCTTCGCTTGTGACTGTAACAATTGCTCAAAACCAAGTAAATGTAGACAGAGGAAGAGAATTGCTTTTTTTTGGGGTGAATTGATAAACTAATTCTCTATGTATACTTTACTACTTTTGTTCAATGTAGTCTTTGAAGAGGACTTCTAATCGTAAGCTCATTTTGCCAAATGTTCTTATTTTCTCCTGTGTTTGTCAGTTCTTTTGGTAAAACAACGAAGGGATATCAGAAGCACTCTGTTCTGAATCTTAAAAGTTCCTGATGTACTGTTGCACATCTCTATTGTTCTCTGTCTTTCCTGTTTGAGCTCCAGAGTGATTTTAGGTTAATCTAATGAATAATATCCACTGCTCAGAGGGGCAATATGTTCTAGGCAGTATAGGGTACTACTTTATTTGACCTGACCTTTCCCAAACTCACAATAAATACTTCCTAGAATTGGAAATGAAGATTGTCCACTGAACTGACCAAAGTGATTCTTTAATCATCAGCTCCTAATTTTGAGGAACAGCAGTACATAGCACTTCTTTTTATTTTGGGTGATCAATGCTGAAAATTGAATCCTGTTGTGAAATGGGCTGTCACCAGGCAAAAAGTAATATTAATGTATATTAAGTGCTGCTTATTATGAGATAATTACTTGAACATAGACAGAAAGCTGTGTGTAGAACTGGCATGAGATCTATTTATGCTTTTAATCCTCTTACATTCTTGATGCTTTCAGTTTATTAATCAAGGAAATAGAAAAAAAATTATGCTTGGCAACTGAAGGTGACTGGCTGTGAAGTGTCATGAATTTAAAAATACAAATCATGATCTAGAGGATTAATAATGTCAACAGAATAATATCCATTTTGCGTAACAGTGTATTAAATGTTTGCATAGTTCCTCAGCAGACTGAAGGCTATTTTGGTGTTTTGATTTAATTTTCTACCTGTTTCATAGTTTTTAGTGAAATCTAGTATGGATTATTGAGGAGACGTGTGGCTAAAATTTGTCTCAAAAATAACAGTAGAAGGTAGACACAAATTGGATGGTTGACCTAATTTGAATATAGAAATAAAGAATCTGTATTTTCCAAATTTCTTCTGTAATATGATGATCAGCATTAGATTTACAATTGACAAGAAAAGCCAACTATTTATATTTATATATTTTATTTTGTTTTTTACCTCTCTCTAATTCACCCCTAATTCCCCCTCCCCATTTCTGTTAATGGTGGTTTATTGTATATATATGCTTTCTGGTTCCCCTCACATCCCTCTGGGGATATTCACTTCTCTCTAGGTCAAAGGCTGAAGTTTACAAAAAGCCCAAACAAATTGGGAACTTTGATTGAAGCAATATTTAGTGACTATTGAGTGCCTAATCTTTTGAAGTTCCTTGACAGAAAAACTCTAAAATCTTCACATGATGAAAGTCAACAAGTTGTTGTTACATGATAAAGAATCTATACTATACAAGAAGATGACAAGATGCCAAGCTTCAGCAGTGATTGATTTTGACTAGAACATAGTAATTTTGAGTCAGGAAGGACTGCTATGCACCTTTAATACATATCATATACCTAAGTAGCTAAATGGATTTAGAAATTATTTTCTGATTTCACATTATGAAATTGTTCTCAGTGTTACATCAAATGTAAAATTTCTAATTTAGAAATCATGAAATTGGAACCATGTCTGCAATTACTTACTTTAAAAAACTTGAATAAGCGTGCGGTACTATTTCAAGGCTGGAAAATATTATCAGTATTAAATATTCTGATTGCTTTTCATGCCAGTTAAACATGCCACATAAGAAGATCCTACCAAAGATCATTTAGTTACTTCTTTCATGGGCATTAATGTTCTAAAGGTACCTCGATTTCTGATTCTGCATGGTCCCCGTGATCTTGGCGTGAGAGTCCTTTTGTTCAAATTTCACAGTCTTGGGTGCTGCTAGCACACAGGTAGAAGGTTCAGATTACTGCAAATGAGCTTGCAGCTGCTGCCTTTGTTAGGAATAGTGGTATTGGTAGAATCAAATTTGTACATAATTGCCTAGTGTTTACAGTTCTTGTCCATGAAGTGAAAACCCAGGATTAATTACTGCTGTGGGCTGGGGAGTTTCAGATCCTCATCTTCAATGTCTCCTAGGACAATGTTTAAACCATGAGATGGTAGGTTGTTTTGAAAGGTAGAGAAGAATACTTCACTCCTGTTCAGAATTATATTGATACTCATGAACAAATTCGGGAATGACTGGTGTCCTCAGAAAGAATGAAGGAGTGTGACTGTGTATTTCTAGACCAAATATTTTGACTGGGTGTTTCTTTACTGCTAGTTGTTGCCTCTGTTGTTGGTGGCTCAGTTACCATTTAACTTCTCCACCCCTCAATTCTAGTGTGAAGTCAAGGAAATTAACTTAAATTCTCTGTGGTTTAAGCTAAACTGTTTGACACAGAGCTGGGACAGAGGTGGCAGTGTGCTCACAATCATTTTAAGTCTCTGCTGGGGAGTGTCAAGTCATAGCACTGCTTCCTGTAATCCAATATTCATATAACCAGTTCTCTTCCAGTTTCCTCCATGAAACGTCTGTGCTAGCTTTCCACTGAATACGATAGTGACCAGTGTGCAATCTTGAACTTTTTGTTAAATACCTAACTCTCTCCAGGCAGTGCTTCAAAATAGGGATAAAACAAGGAAGCTCTCTGGATGGATAGCATCTAATGCCAGTCAAAAGGAAATGCAAGAGCATGCTGGTATCTTAACCCTGCCCTGCTCCAGAGTTCACCAGTCTGACTCAGTGCATCCATAGCTCAGAATCTCCTTTTATTTCACCCCTACCATTCCACATCAAACTTTGGCACAGCTCCTAGTTCTTCTGTGTTTTGGGCTGCCTGGGTGAGAACTTATTGCAGCACCGTTCCTCATGGCTGTCCTTACTAAGCCTGTGCTTTGTTCCTAACTACTCCACGGTCAGTGGCTTCCTACCAGAGTTTGTACTGCAAGGGCTCACCCCTACATAAAGCAGTTGTCAAAGGAAGAGGATGGACTGGGGCTCATCAGAGAGGTGGGAGGGCTGCCATCATACATTACTCATTCCTGCTGTGCTGCAGGCTTTCTGTACCAGTAGAGCAAATTCTGTACTGTGCATAGCTATGAATACAGATCTGCTGAAATCACTGAGTTAGACCTGGTTTTACTAGTTAAAATAAGAAGAAATTGTCCTACTGATAGGCTTAACTTCATAGTAAGAAGAGAACTCTGGGCCCAGTTGATCTTATGAAGTGTTTTGCTTTTGACTTTAATAGTCTAGTATTTCCCTGTTACTTCATTTTAATACATTTACCTTTTGGGTGTGAGATTCATAGTGTCAATGATTCTGTCTATGGCTTTCAAAAATCTTCATTAACTTGGACATCTTGGGGATTTTTTGTGTTGGTTATTCCTGAAATAAATAGTTAAACCAAGAATGCTGTCAAGTTAAATCTTGAATTGCATGGGAGACAAAGAAAGAATACTGGCTTAAAAAAGCAGTATCGTCATGAAAACACAGAAAGCTAGGTTAGTAAAAGCATAGTAAAAGCTTTTCTTTTTCCAGGGTTGATGAGGATTTAGGTAGTGGTTTTCCTTTTTTTTTTTTTTGCAATTGACTATCAGCAACTGTCTTATATACAACTCACCACTTATATTGGAGAAATGTAGCATTTATTGAAGAGGGAAGGTTAAGGATTATTTGAAGTCAAATTATATTTTTGACACTTTCTTCTTTCATGTATGTATGTTTTCTTGACTCAACATTGTAGCAGTCTCATAGTTTTTCCTCAAAATTGCTGTGGTAAAACATCAGTACAATAGCATGTCTATGGTTTTGAGTTTTACGATATATGTAACATGGAAGACCGTGTGTTACATATGACTAAGATGAAGCAGACTGTTCTAGACACCTTTGCTGTAGTAAGAATATATACTGTCTTTGTATAACACACATTTTAGACAGTAATCCTGAAGTTTGATTAAGAGAAGTCTACAGCTGGAGAGTTGATTTGACTCATAAATATAGATAAATGTCGTAAGTGACTGATGGTCTCTGTCAGTTTGTGAAGCACTAAAAGCTGTCAGTTAAGAATAATAGGACTAATCCATTCACATGGAGGTTTCCTATTTGTCATCTTAAGTACACATAAATAGCTAAGAAAACAAGACAACACTCTTTATCTCTTTTTATACTTGTATTTATTTTTTTATAAAGTTATCTCTTTTTAATGTTCTAGAGTTGAGACTCTAGTTTGTTTAACAAAACTAACTGCAATCTGATTTCTAGATTGAAGTATAAGTTTGACAATTGGGAATAATTTTTAACAGTGGCCAAATTTTATGGGAATGGTAAAAGATTACATATAACAGAAATTACTGTTCTCAGGGCCTGTTTAACTGAACTGCACTGAACTTTAAAGTGTAGAAATAAAGGAAAAAAACCTCACCTTGTTTTGAATGTGGGAAAGAAGATAGTTATACAGAAATAGCCAATTAAAGTTCTCATAACATGCAGTAGAGTGTGCTTTTATAGATAACTGATTTAAGGCAAAAGTCTTCATGTACTGCTTTTATCTGTGTTTGGATAATGACAATCCAGTTTTCTTTCAAGATATTTGCTGTGGTGTGTGTGAGTGTGTGATTTGGTTTTTGGTTTGGGTTTTTTTTACTTTCTGTGGTGACTTAATTTACCAAATCAGAACACTTATTTTTTCACTTTCAGATAACTTCTGCCAGGGGTTATAATAGTGTTAATATTTTAATTGTTAATATTTGTTCTAGTATTGACTTTCTTTTGCTTCTGTAATTTTTTCCTTTCTTTTTTTTTTTTTTTTTTTTTTAAGCTGAGTTTTCAACATAAGATTGGTATCCTTTATTGCAAAGCAGGCCAAAGCACAGAGGAAGAAATGTATAACAATGAGATGGCAGGACCAGCTTTTGAAGAGTTCCTTGATCTGCTGGGCCAGAGAGTACGGCTAAAAGGATTTAGTAAATACAGGGCTCAGCTGGATAATAAAAGTAAGTTTGTTTCCAATGTATGGTAGAAGCTATAATTATCCAGTTAATCTTCTGCAAATCCTGTTTTGTTTTTTCATGCTCTTGAATTTAGGTTTTTATTAGTAAGGTTATATGGCAAATGAGGAAAATGAAGCATATGATAAGAGCATGTATCACACCTTGTCTGAAAGATTATTTACTTTTTCTGTGGCATTGGTAGAAGTGAAAATCAGAGCAACTTATTTCATTTGTTTACACTTAAAGTCATACTGTGTGAGTGATATTTTTTATATATTTCAGAATTTCCCCACTACACTTTAGCATCCTATTCTTAAAAGAGCAAAAGAAAAGATATATATTTCAAAATATGGAGTCATGACAAGGGACCAATTTCCTTATTTCAGCTGTACTTCTGTGCTTCTTTTTAATCAACATACATATTGAAGTTTATATTTGAGGAGCAATCAAGTTTTCTCAGTTTTCTAGTTTCTCACACATGCGCAGTAAGCCTGTTGTCATTTGGCAGTTGATAAACATTCACCTACTTAACAACTGTATTATTACCACCATTTCCTCAGGTCTTTCAGTTTCTTTAAGTGTAATAGTATAATAATTTAATTGTACAAATTTGTGGACTTTGTAGCAAAAATAGGAACTGAAGTATTGCTGTTAAAAGTCAATAATATGTTCATGTACTTCACTATTAGCACTGCTTTTCACTGCCCTTAAATTTAACTTAATACATTCTTAGTTTAATGTAGTTTTAACGGGATTTTGACAACTGATCTCTATGAGCTGTGGTCTACTTTATTGTAACATACTATTTTTATAGATATAAAGACTAGATATAAGGAAATTTTTTACAATGAGGGTGGTGAAACAGTAGAACAGTTTGCCCAAAGAAGCTGTAGATGCCCAATCCCTGGAAACATTCAATGTGAGGCTGGACGGGGCTCTGAGCCACCTTTGTTAAAAACGTCCCTACTTTTTGCAGGGGAGTTGGACTAGATGACCTTAAAGGTCCCTTCCAACTCAAACCATTCTCTGACTCTGTGATTTGATTTGCATCCTTACTTTTGCTGTAGCTTGCGTATTACATCCTGAAAACAGATTTTTTGAATATATACTGTATATGGCCTGTGTACAACAGAAAAGGGATATGTAGTACATCTTTTTAAACTTAAATCCTGCTACTCATGTGTGTATTCTACTTACTCTTCTAATCGAATAGGAAAGTTCCTTGAACTGTTAGGGATAAGTTGCCAAGAAGGAAGCTTAGAAAAGGTGTGCTTAAAGGAAATTAAGGGAAGATCATCTTTTCTTGCAAGGGATATTTTGTCTTTCAAATGGTCATGTAGATTTAAGAATCAATATGTTCCCTTATTTGCTTCTCTGTTCCTCCTGCCACTTATCCACCTGATCTAGCCTGGTTCTTAGGAATCTCTTGCATGTGTTTGCTACATCAACATCAGTCTTCATTTAGCTGGAATATATCTGGATTTTATTTTTTTTCAAAATGGTACATTTGAACACTGATCAGTGTCATAGTCATAAAAGGATTTATCTTCTGTTATTAAACTGGTAGTGACCTGATGGACTGTCATCTCCTGTAAAGCATTAGGAGAGAGACTTAATAATTTGTATTAGGAATTTTTGGAAATGTCTAGTGCATGTACATTGTGGTTGATACCCAGTGCAGATAAACTGTCCATAGGCCAATCTCACCAGCAGGAAATGAGATATGTGAAGTTGGTGATAAAACCTCATGGTTTTGTAATGAAGGGAGACCAGCTTTTCAACTCAAGAAATCTTTCACATTCTCCATCTCTGGCAGTGGTGGGAAATGGTGAAAAAAAGTGACCCAAATCCTATGACAGTTTCTAATTTATGACTTACAAGGTGGGAAAGCTGCAATTCCATAGCCCTGTCAACCTGCATAAGTACCACATTTATTTTTGTTAACATTATTGCTTCTTTGCTTAAATCCATGCTTGTTTCACTTTAATAATTCAGGCTTGATAAAGACTATTGCATCCTATTTCAGTACAGAATAATAACTCATTTTTCAAATTACTGTGTAGAAATATTTATTAACGTGCTGTGGTTGTCAGACTTCTGGGATGAACTGATAAATAGGGATGAAAAATTCAAAGGAGTAAGGGGTGTTTTGGTTTTGCTTTTGCTTTTTTTCCCCAGTCAGAGCATGACTGACTATCCCCTAATAATTTGTACATATGAAAATATATGCTGGTCTGTCAAACAAATTCGGTTTCTATATTTGCCATGCTTCAGTATGAATGTACATTGCTGATTGTTGTTGTGTACATATCATTCAGCAACATAATGTTTTACTCATGCTATGTGCCATTAACAATATTGGTCTGTCATAATATGTTCTCATAGTTTGCAACAAACAGAATGGAATTAAGACTGTTCACAAAGATATAATCTTCAATTTTATATGAAATGCGAAATATTGACTTACTATAATTTTATGTGGGTTTTTTTTTTTTTTTTTTTAATATGCCACAAGTATTACTGCATGTCTTATTTATAATTGAATAATACATTGATTTGACTGCCTGCAGGTTCAGAATAGTGTAATAATTTCATATCTAGCAGCTACATTTTTAGTAGGCATAATGTTTCAGTAATATTTCTTGCTCAGTTTTTGTAGGATTCACATTTATTAAGTTTTTTTCTATTTTTCATATATTTGACTGTGGGTTTTTTTCTTTAAAAAGTTAATTTTAAAAAAATTGGTCTGTTTATTTAATATTTTGTTAAGTAATTAATTGGTCCATTTCTTATGGAATATAGAATGTAGAATGTTGTGGTGGGTTGACCTGTCAGGCAGGTAAGCCCCCATCCACTTGCTTGCTCATTCACCCCCCAACAGGATGGGGGAGAAAATCAGAAGGGGAAAAGAAGGAAAAATTTATGGGTTGAGATTAGGACAGTTCAATAAGTGAAGGAAAGAAAGGAAAAACACAAACACCAACACCACCCCAAAAACCACCACCCCACAACAATCAACAACCCTCCCCCCCAAAAACCAAGTGATGTAAAGACAATCACTTGCCACCTTCCATCAGCAGAGGGGTTCCCACCATGGAAAAGCTCCCCCCAGTCTAGTTTTATTGCAGAGTATGACATTATATAGTATGGAATACATCTTTGGTCAATCCGAGTCAGCTGCCCTGGCTGCGTCCCCTCCCAAACCTTTGCACACCCCCAGCATGATCGCCAGGGTGGGGTGGGGGACAGTGTGAGAAACAGAAAGCCCTGATGCTGTTCAGACACTGTTCAGCAATAGCTAAAACATTCGTGTGTTATCAACACTGTTTTGATCACGTATGAAAAACATAGCACCGTATGGGCTGCTATGAAGAAAATTAACTCCATCCAAGCCAGACCCAGTGCAAATGTGAAGAACATGTGGAATATATTAACTACAAACTCTTTGCTGCCCTTCTTTAGTGCTTTTTTAATGGCATGCAATTCTAAATCCCAAGATCAAAACCCAGGAAAATTAGAGGAAACTTTACCAATTCAACACTGTATAATTTTTTTAGAATGTGTTTTAAAACATCTCCATCTACTATAAATTAAGCATTAATATGTTATTATTTGAACATTAATATTCTCATTTGTAATTTAGTGATGTAATTTAGTTATATTACGGATAAATTGGATTATGTTTGCATTTAATTTCCTTGTACCTGTAAAGAGGGAAATGAAGGTGAATGGGATTGAGGAAATGCTGCAATTTTATATCTACAGAGGAATAGTGATGTTTCGCTTTTGTTTGATATGCTTTTCTGAAAACCAGAAATGTTTCATAACTGAAAAAAAAGTTTAGCAAATTTTTCCTCAAACTTTGTGAAATGAAACTAATGTTTAGAAAGGAATGAGGTGCAAAAATGTCAGCACAGATATATTTTTTTTCACTAAAATTGTTAGCAGAGTAACGTTTGTAGTAGCAACTGTTATGTAAATTTAATCACGGTGGGCCTTAGTAGATGTTCAGTGAAGCATCTGTTGAGTTAGAAGATTTCAGCTTGCTTAGTGTAAGGGACTACATTTCAGAAGAAAAACTTGCTAGCTCATTCCCAAAGGCAAGGTGCTAAATCAAAAGTATTCAGCTAAGTAGGATGTTCTATTAAGAAAGCACTGGTTTAAGGGTAAGGAATTGCCTCTCTGTAGTAAGTATTTAAAGACACTGTTTTGTGAAATGTCTGTTCAAGGTAATTTGACTTTAATATCTAATTGCAAAAGGAGTCAGGAAGCAGGGTTGCTGAGATCAGTATTGTTCAGGCAGATACTTGTATTTCACAAGATAATTTATTTCATGCTACGTCTTCAAAACTCTGTCTTTCTAAAATGCCATGGAAAGGTTATAATGGAATTATATTTTCAACAAAGATATTAATATAGGGGAGTGCAATAATACGTGCTTTCTTCTAGCAACATTTAAGTAAGAAACTTCAGTGGAAATTATGCTCCCTATTTCTTATCTAGCTGTAATTTATATTGCATCAATATTAATAAAAGAAGTTAAGATTATTATTATTATACAAAGATAGCTGATGAAGCCAGTTGTAACGTGAATCTGTTCGAAATTATACACCTGCATAAATATTTTCAGATCAAGGGCTGCAGATACAGTATGGTTACTGCTGAATTTTACAGTTATGTGTATGTTTATATACTTTTAACTGGATAACTAACATGGCCAATCAATTTTCTTTTGGAATACAGTTATTATTTAAAACAACCCCCCCAAACCTTAAAGAGTGTGTGGAAGAGTGTACCGGAGAATGTTTATTTGTGTATAAAATACAAAATTATATTTTAAAAATGACTGAACGTGGAAAAAGAGAAGAAAATTTGATAGTTGTCTTGACTCATTAGCATGTTCGTAATCTCCGGCTTTAAAGTTAATTGTACTTACTTAAATAATCCATACATATTAAAGAATGTAAATGAAAAGGATTAATTTATGACTAAAGAGTAAAACTCATCTAATTTGCTGTAAACATTCTGAAATGATAACTCTATTAATAAACTTAAATAAAATAAATGAAAATATTAAGTAATATCATATATGAAATGTATTCTATTCATTTTAAAAGATCTGAAAATTCCCAATAAAATGATTTAACATTGTACTACAATGTATTATGTTTTAAAAATGTCTGTTCTGCAGTATGGTGTTAATGTCAGATTTGACATAGCATTGTCAATTTATTTTTGGTAAAGTATGGGATTACTCAATTGTCCTTATTAATGTTTTAAATAATGAAAATACATATTACATAAAATTATCCTCGGGTAGCTAAATCTTTTTTCTTTTTTCATGAGATGCCAAAATATTCAAAAATAGGTCATTTAATCCTCATAGACAGAAAACTCTTTGGACAGTTTCTTGCAATACTCTTTTGGGTCATAATATGAAACTAAAAAGTAGATGATTAGCTGATGCAAACTGGGTTTGTTCTACTGAAAAAAGTTATGAATGACATTAATGGATTTAAATTGTAACATGCAAAGACTGGTATTCTAAAAAGTACTATGAATGTTCTGTTTTACTGACCTTCTTGTGATTAAATTCATTTTCAGCTGATTCAACAGGAACTCATTCCCTCTATACTACCTATAAAGACTATGAGTTAATGTTTCATGTATCAACAATGCTTCCATATATGCCCAGTAACAGGCAACAGGTATGGTTTTTAACTTTTCATTGTAGTTTTACATTATAAGTCTTTGACATTGAGGGGTTTTTTTAAAGTAATACTGTTTTAAAACTTAATTATTTTATATGAAGTATGACTGAATTGTATATTTTTTCTTGAAATATTGTCAAGCAATAGAAATCTCATAGGATTTTTGTATTATATAATGCAGGAACTTGTCCTGTCTCCCCCATTTTGTATTATTAAAAGGTAATGTTGCCTGTGCTGAATGAGTTACTTTCAGTTCAGACTGGATATACATCTTATGTATATTTTAACATTGAATGGACTGAAGCTTGAAAATAGGCATGGTTAAAATATGCATGTAATAAGATTTTTAGAATGATTCCACTTAATCCTTATATTACAGATCTTGAAATGTTTATTAATGTGTCATCTTAGTAATAAATACTTAAATGTGTCCTTCAAGGTGTCTGGTTGCGAAGACAGAAAACTGCAGTATACTTAATTTTATTTCTGGAGAATTCACTTTGTTTATGTAATAATTCAGAATATCTTTAAAGCATTAAGGATGGCTAAAAACCAGCACAGCATCCAAAGTGTGCAGTGCACCAGTAAGGTTACTTTGTCTTGCCTGTCTCTGATGTTTCTTGCGATTGAATTTAAAAGTACAAGCACATTTGGTATAATATATCAACATTAACACTTTAAAAAAAAAAAAAGTATTGCTCTTATGTCAGACTAATGATAATTTGTAACTTTCTGTGCTACTACTGTACATTTTTCTGGGTCTGCAAAAATAAAAGTTGTATTTATTTATTTAGTTTTAGAATATTATCTCATTGCTGTGCAAGATTTCAGTAATTTTGGAGGGTTGTCATGAAAAAAGGAAGCTATCTATCTCACTCTTTTTGAACAGCATACAAAAGATGGTTACTGATTGTTAAACCATATGTGAGTTGTATCTTTCATGTCTACCCTATCAGTAGGTCGTGTGGGAAGAAAATAAGATGTGTCAAGGCAGTAAGAAAAAGATAAAAGATTAAAATTCTTGAGAAAGGATAAATGAAAATTGAAATGGAAAAAAATATATAGTGTATTTATGTATTTTAAATAGTCAGTGCGTAATGTTCTGAACTGTTTGAAGAGCTGTTTCAAGTGAACAGTTAAGTAAACTGCAAATTTTACTCTATTACACTCAGGATTTAGATGTGGTTTAAAGAAACTAAATTAGGACTCAGAAGACAAACTCTTCACTATATGAATAATATGAATGTTTAGATGACTCACATCTTAAAATGTGTAGATTTCAGGAGACAGAATGTTCAGCTGTATCACACACTCAACTGTGCTACTAGCTAGTAATCAAGGTATCGGATCATCATCACTGATTTGAGATTGTTCTACTTCTCTAAACTTGCACTTATACCTTATTACAATACAGGGTTAATTTAGTAAACACACTCAGAGTTATTCTGTCTGTAATCAGTCATAACAATCTTTGACTGGAAAGGGAAATCTTTGACTGTTAATAGGGAAAACTGTACAGTATTAAGAAGATATAATACACTGAATGAGCTTGCCTTAAAAGGAAAAAATTAGTATTTTCATAGCTAATCACAGGCACTGACAGTAAATATGGCCTTACTTGGAGTTTATTACTTTTGTTGTTGTCTTTTACGATTTTCCCTTGTTTGTGAGAACAGGATATCCTCTTGCCATGATCCACTAATTTTCATAATTGTTTGCTGTTTGTCAGCTTCACTGCTGTGTTGCTCAGCCACCCTCTATTACTGTCCTTTCAATTCTTCCTGTGCCTTCCTTTCATTCTTGTCATTTCCTTAAGTATCTGTCTTTATAGTCAGGTGATGATTCTTATGTACAGCAGAATCTTCCAATTTTAACTCTATTGTTTTCCCCAGCAACAAGCACTCCTTTCCACAGTGTTTTAGTAAGCTCTCATAATTGTCACTCTAATGGGTTCAATATTTAGTAGAAGCACCATGTTGTTATTCATGTCTTTCTTGGGATCAGAAGAATGTGTCAGTTTTTCAAGTTCAAGTAGTATGCCTATCTGAAGACCTACCACATTATTTTTTTAGGTGCTGGGATCTAGCAATATTTGCACAGAAAGGACACTGTCTTAAATGTGACAAGTGCACCCAAATGACTAGAATTTAGCCAGCCTTAATGTGCAAAAGGGATCTATAATAATTTGTTAATGTTCTATTACTGTTAAATTCCAAAATACATATTGAAGTGTGAAATGTATCAACAATGTTATTTCTGTTAAGCTAGGATAAAATTCGATTAGGTCTTTTTCCTTGAGACGTTTTAGATGCTGAAGACCACAGATACAGTTGCATCAGTTGTGCTCAAGGCAGAGAGAGACTTACAGGTGCTGTGGAATATGAATGTTGTTTGTCTCTTCAGGGTTCGGCTCACTAATTCTACATACTCAAGTAAGGAGAGGTTAGACCCCATGGTAATTTTCCTCTTAGGTTATATTAGCAATGAAGACCCCCATTCAATAGTTACTTTTTGCTAGCATATTGTGTATGTACTAGCAATGAGCTTATTGCATCCTATCCCTGTCTCCCTTGTTTGGTAATGACTGGGCAAGGTATCAAGTTACTCTTCATCATCTAGGACTACTATCTTCGATAAGCAAGCACCGAGCATTGCTTAGATTCCAAATACCTGTGAGCCAGAAATAGGCCACACCAGAATTGTTTGTTGCTTCTTCCAGGACATAACTACGCCCTGCTTGGTCCCTGATCAGGACATCCCTCTAGTTTTAGAGCCAGCAGGAGATCCAAAGAGCAAGGTAATTTTCATTTTGGCTGCAACATAGGCTGGGAACTTTCAAGTCAGCTGCTCCTTCCCCAGGACAGAAAAGACTACCAGCCCTGGTGTGGCCAGTTTCTTTTCCTTTACTGGCCTTTTATTCCAATCATAGTTCAAGGCTTTCCCCTTTAAACTTTACCTTTACGGTGTCCCTTTCCAAATCATTCCCTTGCAAGTTTCCCATTCACACATTTGCAGTCTGCTTGTGTACACATGGTCAGACCTGATTAATCCAAATCAGTTCAAATAATCAGTTTTCACCTGATTTAATGAAAGCTTAAAAATGAAACAGATATGCAATAATGAAATAAACTTGAATTTAAGCTAGTGTTAAAATGGTTGGGATAACAAGACGTGGTTATACCAAACTCGGTTTAACCAGATCTGATGAAATATCTTTTGTCATTTGTCTCTGATTTTGGTACTGGTTAAGAATACAAATTGAAAATAAAACTTCTGAAACCACTTATTTTAGAAATCTACAAAAATAAGTTTGAATATTTTCATATTTGACTCTTAACATTTCATCGTTTAATTGAATGAAAAATATATATCACTGCTGTTTCAACAAGAATTCCTTGTTGTTTTGCAGTTTGACTAGGTAATTAAAATTCCACAGGAGTGGGTAGATTTTTATGGCTGGGGATAACCTATGAATATGCTGTTTTAAGACAGTACTTCTGAGATGCATATCTGAAAATTAAGAATTGAGTATTAAAATCTTGAAATTAATATAGTAACTATTATTTGGTATACATAATTTTAATTAATGGATTCTGCTTTTCTAACATTTTTCTTACCGGACTCCCCTTTGCATGTGTTGTATTACATAAAACTTCAGTGGTTTCCTTTTAGCTACCTATTGTACTTGATTGGGTTCAATTTCAAATTCTACCATGCCAATTTAGACTGATACTAGAATGATGTCAGAGTGTGTTTGATGTTTCCTTACTGTAAATAATTCTCTGTAATCTGTGCACTCTGTTGAGAGTTCCTATTGTGTTCTGCATTGGCATGAGACTCTTTAGAGTATGTTAGAAAGGCAGATTAAAAAAAAAATTAATAACAACCCCCCCCCAAAACCCCAAACCTGAGCAGATCTCAAAATGGGAGAGGAAGGGGAAACTGCGAATCTGAAAAAGGAGGTAGAAGTTGGGAGGAAAATCTAGGTTATAGAATGGAATCTAGAAAAGGGTTTCTTATAAATCTTTTTGCTTAGTTCCAGTTTCCTTCAATTCCTTTTTCATTTTCAGTATGCTATCCTTTATCTCACATTTCCCAGGGAAGTATGTGTTCCCTCTTTCTTTTCCATTCAATATTTTATTCTTTTCCTATTCCTTTATCCTATCCAGAGCACTTCTTTCCATCTTCCAGATCACCCCAGTTTACTTCTCTTCCCTTTCCAAGTTCTTTGCATTGTGATACTCTGCGCACAGCTACGACTGTGCTTTGCCTTTGTGTTATGTTGAAGTTCACTGACCACTTATGCATGACAGTTATTTATAACAGTGTTACACTGATTATATTTTAAAATGTTGAAGAAGTCAGTAAGATCTCTGCAAGCTTGGTAAGGTTCTTAAAAATTATGACCTGACTTTGTATTTTCTATTTTTGTGCCTCTTAGAGGTTTAAGCTCTTGAAAGATAGTTTAAGAATAGGATATGTGAATGCCATTATTTTGAAAATACTATTTTTGCTAGTAAAATTTCAAACATTTCAAAAAACTTACCTCCTATTAAGTGACTGCTATTCTTGCTTAAGCAACCTGGTGGCAAGCAGAACCTCCTAAAGAGGTCTACAAAAGCAGAAAATATTCTTGAAAACAATGATTGTCTTGAGAAATAAATATAACTTTAAACAGGACGTTGCTTTCTAATTTTTATAATTTTGTTCTGTGGAAATGTATAGGCATAGGCATAAACCACTATAGCAAGAAGGAGTAATTGGGCAGTTAGTTTTATAACAAAGGCAGAAATGAATCACTTTGTACCTCATAATTGGAAGGTTTCTTACAAATTTAACTGTGGTGTAAATTCCAACCTGAGAGATAATAATAACCTCTAAACATGAACTTGTGCTTCACTACTGTGATCTAATAGTATGGTTCACTAGCTCAGCAAATTAAAGTATACCTGACACACGTAGTTCTGTGATCAGTTCCGTGTGGTTTAGTTGTTCTGTAATTTGTATGCAACAGGATATATATCTTAAATTGCTCAAATAGCCAGTTATTTTGATTTCAGTCTTAAAAACTTGTAAACTTGACTGACCCACATGACTTATACCAAATAGTATTTTCTTGTTTTATATCTGGTTTAAAGTTTTATCAGAAGTCTTATTTCTTTAATCTGCATTTGGGATTTTGATTATATTTAAAATAATACAGATATACTGAGTGCTTTAAAATTGTGGCTTAGGCCCTTCATACTACCTTTAGAACAGCATCCTTTGTGTTATTTTAGGAGATATAATGAAACATACTTAAGGGTCTTAGGCTTTAGCATGTGCGACTTTGCTTTTTTTTTTTTTGGTAGCTGAATTACTAATTTTTAATGGAACTGAAAATAGAAGTAAATAGTCTTTTATTAAAAAGATTATGTTATGTAAAATCAGCTTGATAGAGAAATTTATACTTGTTCTGTCATAAAGTTTTCAAATAAATTTATTATTGTATCCTTTTTAGTTAGACATGAGCTAAGGTCAGTCTTTGAGTGTCTGTATGCTATTAGTTTTCAATGCAGACTTAAATGTAGCACATGCTAGACTACTTTTTTCCATCTGTTAATATACACAGATGTTTTATAACCAAGGTATTTAAGAAAAAAGTGTAAAAAGTTTGAGAGGCACTATATATTTTCATGAGGGAAGTGAACATCATTTTACTGTGATTTTGGGGGGGAGAGAGAGAAGTGATCCTTTATTGCTGGACACGTTTTGTAGTTTTTGTTGAATTTTAGCCTTTAACAATGATTTAGTACTTTAAATTATTCCTCAAATATATTTTCATGATAAAAGCTACCAATTACAAGAGTAACTTTTTAATTAATGAGTTTCTAATATCTATTGTTTCTCCATGAGTCTCAGCTCTGTCCCTCAAGTATGCAGTTGTTAAAACTGGTGATGAGTATACGTGATAGATCTATTTTTAAAAAAACTTAAGATCATAATATTAATGACAACAGTTAATAAAAATGCAACATGGAAACATGGAAAAAGAAGATTTATTGGGAAAGAAAAGCAGTATTATATTTTTCATATAGAAGCAAATGTTACACTGCCAAGAGGGAACTGATGAACAGTTCTCTGGATAGTGAGAAATGTTAAGTGATGTAACATGTTTCTGTGGCTAAAGTGATGTGCTAAAGTAAGAGAAATATATTTTTCTCATAGAATAAAGGAGAAATGAGCAGAAAAAAATGCAGAACTAGTGTGGGGATGCAAGAAAACTCACTACTATTTTTGTGAACTTAGCCCACTATCCTGTCCCTCTTTTTTGCAGTTCAGTCCAACATCCTTTATCTGTAGCTATCCAGGATATGATTAATCAAAAGCTAATTCTGAAAAATAAAGCTTCATTTATTTTGGTTTTGGGGTTTTTGCTAAAATGAAGGAATTGTGATTATTTTTTTTATAACTAATTTTTCAATGCATGTTTCTTGTCTAGCTGCTAAGGAAAAGGCATATAGGAAATGACATAGTTACCATTGTCTTCCAAGAGCCAGGAGCACTTCCTTTTACTCCAAAAAATATTCGTTCCCACTTTCAACATGTATTTGTCATAGTCAAAGTGCATAATCCTTGCACTGAAAATGTATGCTATAGGTGAGTAGAGCCTTATAACTATTTAAGTTTGTTGTTAAGACTACAATGGAACTGCCTCTTCTAACACTTTTGTATTTCCTAGAGATACTATATATATAGTTTTAAAATTTCTGCTACATTTTCTGTGATTTTGAAACCCCAGTGTCTCCCTTACACACATCTAGAGTTACGGGGCACAGTTTGTAGACTTAAATGGGTAAATGAAAAACTCTGCTGATTTCTAGGCACAAAATGGGGATATAACTAGTTAGTGAAAATCTTTGCAGACATAGCAATACAAATTAATCTAGAATCTGTATTGCACATTTCCTTTTTCAAATAAAGTGATTTAAGATAAAATATTTTAGAAGGCTATTAACCTGTGTAAATCCCTGATGTGACAGTATGTCACTGGGATGAGTCATGGCCTTTAAGCACATTAATGAGAACTTTTGGGGAAATTTTAGATGACCTTAAATCTTGCATTTAAGTTATTGCATCAGGAATTCTAGCAAGATATCTGGGGTGGAAGCCTACTTCTGAAGTGACTGGGAATTGTGACAATAATGTTAGGGACTTGAAGCATAATGGTGTAGATTTAGCATGTATAAATGTTATTAATTTATTGTTTAGAATGAAATTAAAGTACATTATGAGATCAGGTCATATTACTATCTTTTAGCTGTCTTTTAGAATTTAAGCTATCTTTTAGAACTTGATTTTGTTTCAGTAGCTCTTTTGCGTTTAATAATACATGACATTTCATAAGTTACATTTTTCTTATTACTAAATAATGTCTGTCTGTCATCCCAAATGTGACTGCATTTCAGTCAAACTAGTAGTAGCTGTACATAGTTTGCACAGTATTTTTAATCCTTTTTCTGTTGAAATACATTATGTAGATATCAATTGTTGGTATAATTGTATCAGTGAGAAAGTATTTATTTCACAACTTGCTGTGAACTGTCCATATCAAGTATTGCAGGTATTTTGAAAACTTATGAACATAGAGTAGGCAACTTAAACAGGTGCAGAATGCTCTCATTATAAACACATTTGACACCAATACTTTGTCTTCACACTTCATTGTAGCAACATGTCTGAGGATTAAACTGAATTCTGTTTCTATTTATATATTTCTTAGTTTTAAGATCATGCAACTGAGTAACAGCTGAAAATGATAGTCAGACTTACATAAAAAAAAAAAAAAATTAAAAATACTTTTTTCATTTATATCTCACAAAGCATTTTTATATTTCTTCCATTAAAGAAAGGATGCAGTGACACCCAGAGAAATCATCCTTGATATTTTTTGTGTTAGGAAGATACATTCATAATGTCTTTTATATATTTCAAAAAAAAAGCCATTTTAAATCAGACAGCCCTATCAGTTTTCTATGGTGTGTCTAAAATGTCTGAAAATTGAGATGTGAAAGCTGAACCCAACTGTGTAAATGGACTACACAGAACACAGTTCTGCTTATCATCTGGGTTTTTTTTAGGAATCAACCACTGTATTTTTTCTTTCCATTTCTAGTGTTGGTGTTTCACGATCAAAAGATGTACCTCCATTTGGTCCACCCATTCCCAAAGGAGTAACTTTCCCCAAATCAGCGGTCTTTAGGGACTTCCTTTTAGCCAAAGTTATTAATGCTGAAAATGCGGCACATAAGTCGGAAAAATTTCGAGCCATGGCCACAAGGACACGTCAAGAATACTTGAAAGATCTGGCAGAAAATTTCGTTACCACAGCTACAGTGGATACTTCAGCAAAGTTTAGCTTTATTACTTTAGGAGCAAAAAAAAAGGAAAAAGTTAAACCAAGGAAAGATGCACATCTCTTCAGTGTTGGAGCGATTATGTGGAATGTAATTGCACGAGATTTTGGCCAGTCTGCTGACATTGAATGTCTCCTTGGAATCTCCAATGAGTTTATCATGTTGATTGAAAAGGAATCAAAAAACGTTGTGTTCAACTGCTCCTGCAGAGATGTTATTGGATGGACGTCTGGATTAATGAGCATCAAAATATTTTATGAAAGAGGAGAATGTATTCTTCTGTCTGCAGCAGATAATAGTACTGAAGACATCAGAGAAATTGTTCAAAGACTTGAAGTAAGTACAGTTTATAAAGTGGAATTCCAAATTTTTTAATGAAGAGTTAGTTACTTATCTACATCTCCTTTGAGATATAATTACAGATGTCCTGTGTTTATAATTCAGGAGTGTTTTCAGTCTTCAGGGAGCATTACAGACAATAATCGCCACAACAGCATATGGGATAAGTGCTATCAACCCATTTTCAGGGATGAGGAATCTGATACCAGTAATCTGATAGACTTGCCCAAGGCCATGGATGATTTCAGTGTTGAAATCAGGATTGAAAGGCTAAGCTTTTGTCTTCTTTTGCTGTAGCCTGTTTTCATATCACACCTTTGTAGGTAGAAATAGACCTTAATTTAAAAATATACAAAAACTTAATGTGTAAAATACACACACTTGGACTTTTTATAATAACCCATGTGAATAATAGCAGAAAAATTTATATAAGTGATTCTGCTGACTTGTTCCTCTGTACTGAGCAACTGCAGGAAGTAAAGAAAACTAGACCAATTAATGCCAGTTTTTACAGCTGACTGGATAAAGCTTTTCAAATGCTTGATGACCCTGTTAGCACAACTGTCCAATAACTATTTCAGTCAATACAAATGAACTGACAGGAATGCCAAGGAAAAGTGCTGATGCATCTAATTCATGTGGTTATGCTTTGCCCTTTGATCGTAATTTAAGTGATCTAGATGGTCTCAGTTTTGTTTATATTAGAAAGCCCAGTACTGAAAAGAAATCATTATGCTTGCCATTTTTACACTGGAACAGTTGGATTGCAGCTGATGTTTTAGAGCCTCTGTAGTCCTGCAGTCACATTTAGCATTGCTCAATATCATGCTCTAAATAATAACCTTTTTCTTCCAAAGTACAATTAATCTTTCATTAGATTAATGTATTTAATCTCTTCTTTCCACTATTACCATTTTCACTGATGTCTTCAGTTTCATTTTCCTTAGATATTTTCCTTCTGAAAAATAGAGTACGCATAGTTCACTCCTATTAAGTACTGTTAAATGAACAATAGGTATTGCTTAACACAGATGGAAGACAAGATTTAAAGTTCTAGTGAAAACTTCTGCTGTCATCAGTGACGACAGTTTCTTTTGTTGTTTTTCACTTTGGTTTTACAGAACATGGAAGTATCCAGTTGCTGAGGATGGATCTTTAAAATTCACTAACTAAAAACACAGAATGAAATAGTTATCTATATTTACTTAAATAGTACCTCTTTTTTTAGTGTCAGATTTTGGGTTAAATGATGACAAATTGGCTTTCAGCCTCAAACATTTAGCATCAATTACTGTCATGTTAACCCAAATATTAGCTTCAAGTATCTATTCCAATGAACTCTGGCTGCCTTCGCTCTTTCACTGCCACCTATCCAACTTTCACATTGCTTAAAAGAATTAGCTGTCATTATTTGTTTCAAAAATTTCAATCTCTGTTTCTTACCTCATATTTTTATCCTTTTCCTCTGGTTCTTCCTCTCTTTTGAAAGCTGCCTATCAATGTTATTCCCTAGTTGTTTTATGATGTTGAATGCTTTCTAAACAGTCATGATATACATTTTGATATAGAAGCTCAGAGATGACCATCATAAGCACTAAAACGTATTTAAAACTCTGAATGCACACTTCATATGCACCCTTTAAAAACCTTTTAAGTGACTCAGAACACAGCTAAGGTCAACAACCACATGTGCCAGCAAATTTTAAAGACTAAATCTCAAATTGTGATGTGATATCAAACTTCAGTGACCAGATGATTAACCCTTTTCAGTCACTAGTAAAAGCATTTCCTAAAACCTGTGAGTAAAATGTTGCAGTTATTAAATGAGATTGTCAGAGAAATAACTGCATTTTATTCCCTGGGTTTAAATCATGCATATGAATAGGAAACCTATCTGAATATTCAGATAAAGCAAAGATATGAAAAGCTGAGACTGAAATTTTGATTTGAATGAAAAAGATCAGTTCAAGACTAAAAAAAGAGCTGGGATTTGTCAATCTAGTCCGCTCTGTATTTGATGGGGAGGATATATAATGATATAAAGTAGAAAGAGCAGCAAAAGCAAACTATAGATTAACTTGATGAGCTGTGTTTGAAGGCAGAAAAAGCAGTTGTTCTGAGCTTTTGGATAACAGACAATGACAGAGTGATATAAGATTAAACAAAAGCCCTGCGTGGATCTTTAGACAAGAATCTGACTTTAAAAAGTCTTCACCTTCTTCATGGGACTTAAAAGATCTCTGTCTTTTAATTTCACATGTTCAGTAGAACAGCAACCAAGTAAGCAGAATGACCTATTTTGAAGCGGAGCAGCACTATATTTTATGTGACATTACTATGTAACACACAGTGTCACCTTTTAGGGGATATACTTCTGGAGGACTTGATCTGGAATCCTTTCCATTGAGAATACATTGATCTTTGGCAGAAATGTTTGTCTTCCTTCTCTTTTAACCTTTGAATATTTAACTCACTTGAAGAAGAGATTTTGAGTGCTCTGAGTTGGGGAAAACCATATACTTTGGCTGGTGCATTCATTCTGTAGTACTCTACAATTATGACATAATGACAAAGAGGTCTCTGCCCCCCAGAAGAATATTGTGTAGTTTCATAAGGATACAATTCCATCCCTCACCTGGGCTCCTGACTAATAGCATGTTCTACTTTTCACTGCATGACTAAATATTGTATATATTTTAGAAACGTGTGACAGAAGTGTAGGGAAACTAATAAAGAGCTGAAAATTTCATTTTCACTTATCTAGTTCACAAATTATGAGTCTTGTGGAAAACTAATCATGACTGAAGATGAACCTCAGAACTGAAAAAAAAAGTTAAAGCTTAGTGCTTTCAACATGCCATATAGCTCTAATACTATATGCACAGTTATAAACACAACAGGAAGTTCTGTTTAAAATGGAAAGCTTCTAAAAGATACTAAAATCTCAGAGTTGAATTATGACAAATAGCTGGGTTTTTTTAATAGGAAGACCCAAAACACGATTTTGTAAACAAAACCTCCAGAGTACATTTTGGACATCTCAGGAATGACTTTCACATTTTAACTTTGAAGCCTACATCTTCAGAAGTAACTAGAAGGTTTATGAAGTCAAAGTGCTACAGTTTAAGTAGCCTAAATTTGCCAGGCAACGATTCTCAGAATATCAGATCCTTGCAAGATCTTTCTCCGATGTTTCACTGCTCAGTTAAGATTAGCCCTTAATAAATGGGGGCTAACTGTATTTCATTACTTTGAGTTTGCTGCAGGTTAATAGCATGAGCATGGACCAGCTCCCTCAGATCAGCAAGGTTAGAGTAACTCATGGGTTTGTGGCACTTTGTTCTCATGTGTGCAAATTCTATTTTTTTCTGATGAGTGACAGATAATCATATAGAAATATTCTCTAAAAACAATACTGCTTTAAAACTTACTAAGGCACCACTGACCAAGTTGCAGACAGAATAATACTCCAAAGCTTTTCCAGTCAGCCCAGCCATTGGACTGGGAAGGGAGTAGAAGTTAGGCCTCTCATCCCTGACTCTGTAACAGACTTGGACAAAACATTTGTTTAACAGGAAGTGTAAAAATGAAGCTATGAAATTAACTTAAGGTTAATATTTGCTATGAGTGAAGTTCCTTTGTCCATGATGGAGACGTACTTTCATAATAGTTGCCAGTGAAGGAGACAGTCCTATCCATTCTCTGCCTGCCAACCCTTTGGAACACTATTTTAAAAGCCACTCTGTTCTTCAGCTGTATCATATCTCTGATCTGTCTGCATGACTGGACAAGTGCTAATGTGATACAAGGGACAGCGTAGTGGTCATAGGGTCTGAGATCACTTTAAACCTCCCATGGAACTGCACCAAGCCTACTGTATCTGACTTGGGTATTGAAAGGAGTGGTTTTGTCACAGCTTTACCCAAAGTGCCAACATGTCGTTAGCTGCACAGTTCTGCTCCCTCACCATGCAGCCCTGAATTAGCTTGGGTTGTGCTTCTGTGGGAAGCACACAACTAGTGAGCTAGGCTGCCCAGATTCTGGCTCAGATAGACAATGGAGGAGGAGAATAACTCTTCCAAAATAGCCTTCTGAATTAAGCTCAAGCTATAAAATAACCTTTGCAAAGACCTATCCTATACACCTGACTATACAGACACTAGCCTCCTAACTTAAGCACCTTAAATTAGATGCCTGAAGTCGAGTAATGCATGTATTTTTGTAATGCATGCTAAAACCATCTGTAAACAGTGTAAACACCCTTGTGGAACAAAGTACACTGTGGAACTGCTCTTAATGCAGTGTGACCTTGGGAAGATCCCTTGATCTGTACCATAACATATGCATCTTTAAAGGGCAGATACTTGCCTTGATGGAGTGTGAGATCTTTGAATGATATGTGTTATGAACAAAGATTTTTGATAATGTTGTTTCACAGTGGTTAAGTTTTTGTTCTAATTATACTAATGGAGCTAAAATACAGACTGCTTTTGTGACACTGGCAGAAGGGAATGTTAGGGTAACTCACAAATTTACCTTGTAATCTGGACTAGTATTTGGCCTTCTGAGTCTGGTGCAGTATCCCAGCATACACACTTTTGTATGACTGAACAAAACTGTTGAGAAGTTGTTACACAGAAATAAGTCTGCTTAGCAAAGTCTGAACTTGAAGGATTTTGGCTACTCGTGTAATGATAGAATTACTTTTCATTGAATATGAAGAAAATAATTTTTTTGTTTGTAAACTTCCTAGTGACATGAAAACTTATCCTGTTTTAGTGATGTCCACATCTGGACATGGTGGTCATTAGGAATCTGACAGGGCAAATTAAATCAAAACTATCTTCATGACTATGCTTCTTGAGGAAGAAATGCTGCTAGAACTCAAACACTTCACTCAATTTGGCTCATGTTATATCTCAAGTTTAATACTGTCTAATACTGAAGAAAAAATGCTTGCACACCTTCAGTCAGTCAGCCAAGAATGCAGCAACTGACAGGACAGCATTTTGCTTGCTTTGTGTTTTGAAACTAACGCAGCTGTTAAGTTTTCAATAAGATGTAAATAGTATTGTGTTGATGTTGGGCAAGAGGGCAGGAACTCAACACGAGTCAGCTGGTTGCTCTGGGGATCTAAGATTTTTAGCATTGTGAAATGTTCGTTTTGTCTTATTCAGAAACCTTCATTCAACCACAAATGTTAAAATAATTGTTTGTATTAGTATATTAAAGATACACATAGCTTTATTGTGTTTGAAAATAGATCTGTTTGTGTGTCCAAAGAAGTGAATGCCCTGACAATAGTGTAACAATCTGATACTTCTTTAGATAGTGACCAGAGGATGTGAAACCACAGAAATGACCCTTCGGAGAAATGGGTTGGGCCAACTTGGATTCCATGTGAACTTCGAAGGGATAGTGGCAGATGTGGAGCCCTTTGGTTTTGCATGGAAGGCAGGCCTAAGGCAAGGGAGCCGCCTGGTTGAGATCTGTAAAGTGGCTGTGGCAACTTTGACTCATGAACAAATGATTGACCTCTTACGTACATCAGTGACAGTAAAAGTGGTCATTATTCAACCACACGAGGATGGAGCGCCTAGAAGGTAACAAGCAACAGTTCTCAATGTGACATTTGTTTTTTCTGTTGGTTTTTGTTTGTTTTGTGGGGGGTTTTTTGTTTTTTTTTTTCCTCTGCTACTGCTTATATGATGGCTCTTTTATTGGAGGCCCCCAGGAAATGGATATTGTCTCTCATGTTTGGTGACAATATTATTGAGTCTCTTTTGCCCAAAACCCCTATTGACTTGTAATAGAAGATAAAATGGGATCCTGTAAGAAATTTAATGGAGAATTTACTTTCATATGTCTTTGAAAGAGTAAGAAGTAAACTTTAGTGCATCATGACTGAGCTGTTATGAAAGCTGATGTGACTTCTTTCACAGGAGAATTTTATATTTTAATACTAAATCTAAAAATTGGGAATCATTCTCTGAAAACTGTACCTTGTCTGTCTTTGACATTTCTCTGACACCTGAGTATTGAAAAATATTTGTTTTATCTTTTCTTATGTTGAAATTTTAACAAAAGTAATGACATACTGAGTTCTGGACATATATGGTACCAAGTCTTGGAGTTCTCCTCATTTTATACAGATATCTAATTTAGTAATATTAAATAGGGGATTAGATCAATGAAATAATCAGTTAGAACAAAGAAATCCTGCTGCAACATGAACTAAATGCTCATACACTTGGAAAAAGACTTTAATAAAGATTGTTATACTGACTGTACCATTCAGGGATGAAATGCAGTTTTCTTTCTTCAGTATTCCTTTTTTGGTGACAGGAAGATTTTTGTTCTTCTCTCTGTTTTTAAATATTATTAGGTAGAGAAGAAGTAGGGAAAATTTAAAACTTTAAAATAATGTGATTTAATTTCTCACATACCTTGTCTAGCTAGGCACTGTTAAATTGGCTTTTTCTAAATGAGAACTGTACCAGAGTAAATGGAATTAATTGTCTTCTTGTAGAAGGCCAACTTTAAATCTCCTGTTGATTTTTAATTTAACAGAAAAAACATTAGATGTGTTGCTTTTGGCAAGACAACAAGCCATAAAATTTTACGTAGCGTGCAGTACTATGAAGTTGGTGCCAACTGTACACGAATACTGTTTAATTGGTGGCAATTCTCCAAGTAGTCATTGGCCTGATGAATGACACAGAAGTGCCCTCCCCTGCCTCAACCTGCATGTTGATGTGTTGGGTTCCTTCTGAGGAAAATGCCTGTGAATGTAGAATACCACCGTTTTGCTTAGTTGGATAGAATTTGCAATTAAGCCTCACTTTGCTTAGCTTTGCTATTCTCACCATCTGCTTCTGGGTATGAATTTTCACTGGCTTGTTTGGTATACATTTCCAAGCTGTTTACAGAATATGAGCCTAATGAGCTGATCCTATTATATTGAAGGTAAAAACGTGTATTTTATAGGTCATGATGGAAAAATACATACTGTATGAATTGTTTATATCTTCTTTGATACATTTTTAGAAATAAAATGTTAAAATCCCAAATCAGTGTGATACATGGCACTCAGTCTATGTGTAGGAGGAGTTTTAAATGAGTGCCACCAAACTGGGAAAAATCTGCAAAAGCTGTTCTTGTTTATAAATTTTTTGCATTTTTAAAACTGTGTGACTAATTACTAAGGAAAATGAATTTTTTTAAACTGTGTTTCTATTCTAAAATATGAAAAACACCAAAGCATTTATGTTTATGTTCTTTTCAGCCTCATCTCTAGTATAAAAAAAGAAATTGTCATTAATGACTCTTTCTCTCAAATAACAATTTCTCCCTGAAACAGAAAGCTCCTAATTTTCCCCTTTACATCAGCAAAATCTGATTAGTGATTTTGATTGCCTAACTTGAAAGGGATCTAATATCCAGAGAGTTTTGAGCTTGCCTTCTCCAAATGTTCATAATCTAAACAGAGCAGACAGAAAGCAATATACTTATCAGGTGACGAGACTGAGAGTTTCCATTGTCAAACATGACCTATGACATAATTTGTAAAATATGTTAATGAGCTGGGGAATGAGGAGAAGGCAGAAGGGTAAAAGATAAAAGTAAAAAGTAAAGGAGATAAAAAGTAAAAAGTAAAAAAAGAAAAGGAGAAGGAAGATAGTCTATCACAGCTACTTACTTGTTAAAACTTGTACAAATCCATCTCCCTGTCTCCTACTCAGTTGCTTCTCTCAGCCATCTGCAATGTCTTATCTTGCAGAGTCATAAAAACAGAGAATAGTTGAGGTTGGAAGGGACAAGGGACCTCTGAAGATCATTGAACCCAACCCCATTGCTCAAAGCAAGGTGAACTAGAGCAGGTTGCCCAAGGGCATGTTCACTGGGTTTTGAATATCTCCAAGGATGGAGACTCCACAACTTCAGTTCCAGTGGTTGATCATCCTTAAAGTAACAAATATTTTTACTTAAATGGAATTTCCTGTATTTCAATTTGTTCACCTTGCCTTCTGTGCTTTCACTGTATATAAATCTGAAGAGTCTTACCCTGTTGTCTTTTTTACACATCACCCCATCAGGTATTTATATATATCCATAAGATTCCTCCTGAGCCTTCTCTTTCCCCGGCTGAACAATTCCAGTGTTCTCAGCTTCTTCTTGGGTTTCAGATGCTCTGATCCCTTTATCATCTTTGTAGCCCTTTGCTGGACTTGCTCCAGTATATTCATGTCTCTCTTGTACTCTGATATCTGGTTTACCCAGAAATTTACAGGCAGTAGATTTGGATGTAGAACAGGAGTATCTGGAGAACTATAATCCACTTCACTTTCATTTGATGACAAGAAATGTCACTGTCCTTGAAGAATCCATATGTGGCTATATAGGATAGAATCAGGTCTTTGTGAGTGGTTTCCAACATGTATCTGTGAGCAACAGTTAAGGCAGGTGTGTCAGCTCATCAGGAGAGAACTTTTCTACTGTCAAGTAGTCCTAATAATTATCAAATAACACTCAAACCAGACATACAGATCATTTCCTTCAAAGTTGGAGTCAGTCCTTGATCCACATGTCTGGGAAAATGGTGGTTCAAAAGCAGGAGAAAGCTTCACATGTACACTTCCAATAATTATCTCTTTAATTCACAGCTGGTTTTAGAGATTGTGTTCTAAAATGATACTTCAGTCTATCTGACATGTAGAGCAGTCGATTTGGAGGCTGAAATAAGTACCTGAAAAGTTTGACTCATCTCACAGAGCATATGATCTTCCGGCAGCTGGGTTGTTTTGCCTCTGTATTTCAGCCTTATTTCTCAGAGTAGGTATTGGTAGTTTATAGAACATTTTTACTTTAAATGCCATAATCTGTCATTTCAAGTTCATCCACTAAGTTTTTGTCTACAGTGCATAGATAGAAAAATACATTCACCTTTGTTTCTACAAGAATCAGTTGCATTAATAGTTGATGCACGTTTACAATAATATAATTTTAGCAGAAAAAAGTTATTTCATATTTTCATGAAAATACCTATGTATCATTTTATTAATAATCTTTCATTTATTAAGATAATTACCTGATCTCCACTGCTTGAAAGAGTAGTTTCTGCTTAGCTCTGTCTGCTGGGCTTTAGGAGTATGAAGCAATGAGGAGTTTCCTTTAGGTCGATTATTAGCAGTGTTTCCTTGCTGGGATCAAATTCTGAAGTGAGTTTACACAGATAGGACATGAGTGCCATGGAGTGTCTTGGGAATTATACCCTTCAAATGAAAATGAGTTTCAAGTGTGCAAGGGTGTTTCCAAAGCAGTCTCAGTACCTTGAAAAAATATCAGCTGAAGTGATCTTTAATCAAGTTCTTGACTTGATTTTTTTTTTTATGTTAGCTTACCCACAAATCATTCTCAGTCCATCAGTCCTTTATATTTTAAAAGAAAATCAATGAAGTATAAGTGTGCATACAGTGAGAATATTAACAGTGAACTATTAACAATGGATTTATTTTTTGCTGCAAACTCTCTTGTATTAATTTATTTTAGCTTGAAAAAAAATCATTTGGAATGCTGAAGGTGCTTACAAAGGAATGATACAGAGTGATTAGGAAAATACAGAGGAAAATTCTGCTCAATAAATGCATTCCATTACTTAATGTAGATCCTTCTACCTATAGTCTTGATAGCAGTACATGCAAAAGCAATAAGGGAATAAGGTCTTTCATTTACTATCCTGTAAGATTCATGAACTTGAGAGAAAGCTTATGCTGTTTTCAGTTTGCTCCAGCAATTAAATAATCATGTACAAATTAAGAAATCATAATTATTTGCATGGTACCAGGCTGATATTTAGGTAGAAAGAAGAAAATGCTATTTAAAACAAAGTCTTTAAATTATAAAGCAGTATTGGAACAAACATGCTGAGTATCCTTGTGTCATATTTGTTTCTATGCTTTTTCCTTCCCTTCAGAATTGTTGTTCTTCTGTTGTCACTGTTACCTAATACTGAAGTGCAGTAGCTAGAATTATACACATTTTAACAGGAGAATAATGATGTTCATTCTAATTTGCTTTCACTGGTGGTGTCACAGTAATGCTCAAGGACACTATATCCTTAATCAGTCAAATCCAGTTAAGGAATACAAGTATTTCTGAATCCATTTTAAACTGTGGATTCTGGTAGAATCTTGCTTGCTTACTACATTGAAATGTATGTGTCTGTTTTAGTTCAACTACCATTATATATAAAAAGAAACTTCTTAAGAACTGCTTAAGAAACTATTTCTAGAAAGTTTAGAAAACAAACAAAACTTTAATCAAGATTTCCAGGGATGGATGAGAAACAGAAGCTCAAGTACAACCACTCTAAGAGATCCAGCAATGGTAGTTTCCACTGCTGGTCTGAGGAAATATCTTTTTTCTGTTGTTGCAGGTAATTTTGAAAATGGAAATATTTTAGTAACTATGACTGAAACTGCCTGTGGGCCATTATTAAGTGCTACTACATTTCTTTTGAGGCTGTTTTATTCTCTTGAACTTTGCAAACTCTTTCCTACAGATTAAATAGGTGTAACGATTTTCTGTATTTTCCAGTCCTGAT